TCAAAGGATGAAGTGCTGCATCCAGAGTCTGGCGATATAAAGGCTAAAGCTTTTCACTTAGATTGTCACAGAGCCATGAAAAAAAATCTGTTTTGGAGGCAAATCAAAATTTCTCCATAGTTTTTAATCCCGAAAAATGCATAATTTAAGTAAAAAATCAGCTAAATTTTAATTTTGTGCTCCCAGATGACTCCAGGCACAAAAACTCACAGAAAACAGGTACTTCTCTGAAAAAGCCTGTCATGATCCCTGGATCCAAACCTTTTTGTCCAGGTGCAGAACAGCCCATCTCCCACTGGCATTGGCTCTCCTGGAAGGACAGCCCAGGGCTGTGCAGACATTTCTCAGGTCACCCACTTTGTTGCAGAGCGTGTCCTACTTAGAGGTTGCTATAAAATGAAATTGCAAGGATGGAGGTTTTACGCTGAGCTCTTGCTGGTCCAGGTGTCTCCTGTGGCGGGAACTGCAGCCTCCAGCCCTTTTCAGAGCACAGTTGTACCCCAGATGGGCTGAAATAAAAATGAAATAAAACAGATCACGATGAAATACTTATCTGAAGATCTTCTCTCTAATATCTGATTATGTTCTTGCTGATCGTACTATTTGTTTAGAGGGTTTATTTTGCTAAATAATCAGTAAATAACTAGGGTCTGGGGTGCAGAAGAAGAGGGCACACCCTCCTTTGCATGAGCCTGGGATATGTGGGGGCCTTGTCTGCTCCTCCAAACCTGCTAGATGGGCTTGGAGAGGGGTGCTGGGAGAGGGTTTGGACCATGGGCTGGAGGAGGCAGAGGGAGGATGTTGGAGGAGGCAGAGGGAGGATGTTGGAGGAGGCAGAGGGAGGATGTTGGAGGAGGCAGAGGGAGGATGTTGGAGGAGGCAGAGGGAGGATGTTGGAGGAGGCAGAGGGAGGATGCTGGAGGAGGCAGAGCAGAGCTGCGGGCGTTGGGGAGCAGCTTGGTTGCAGCAGCAAAACCACATAAAAGCGCCTGCAGCCGGGAAATTTGTGACACTGGGTACACCAGCACGAGCCGTCACTTGTCTCATTTGGGGGAAAATAAGAGTGAAAACATAGAAGGGCACCCATGACCAGCTGAGGTTCATACCGGCTCTGGGCACCTGAAGGGCTGAGGATGAATCTTGTGAACGCATCCACCTCACTTGTAACTCACACTGGTACACAGGAGAGATTGTAAATGAGTGGGTTTATCTGAGACTTGGTAGGAGAGGGTGGAAAAAAACCCAATATGAAAGGAATTTAACAGCTGCAACGAGCCTAAATGGTTGCACAGGAAAATCCCCTGTCAACCACAAATGGTTTGCCTTTAATGAGAATGCAGGACATGCACGAGTAGGTTGCTAATTCTTTGTGTAAAATCCTACCGATAATTGCTACACATGTACCTTTCCATTGTCTCCCATGGAAGTGGGACTTTTTTTTTTCCTTTGGAGCTGAAATTAAAAACAATTTATTAGAGAATAATTAATGCCAAAGTGCCAGGAGATCGTGCCCAGCATTGTGTTTGAGAGAACAAGAGCGAGCCACCAGTAAATTGGTAGTTGTACAGAGCAGGGGAAAGCAATTTGGGAAGGGATTCAAGGGATCAGCTGAAGCTTTTCTGGCAGCTACTTCTTCAGTCAAAACATTCATTTTTGTTAATCCTTTGCAAAAATCTGGCAATTTGGGAACAAAATTTTACAAGTAGTTCAGTACTGCTTTAGGAGGCCAAATCCTGTTACTGGATAATGGGACTTTGGCTTCCCAGGAGCAGAGACGCTTTGGAAGATGTGAGTTTATATGGGGGTTTCTTCTCTTTTCATTATTGGATTAAAACCTACCCCATCCTTGATCCTGCACCGGGAGCTGTGTAAGCAGGGAGCTATACCAGTCTGGAAACCAACTGGAGCATAAAACCCCAGTTACCGTTCCGGTGGCTGACGGTCACGCTGTGCTTTTGGGTTATTCCCGTGACTCTTGGCTGATGGAGCTCAGCTGTCCTGGACCTCCCGAGGATCTCCCTGCTCAGAGACACCCCCAGAAACTGCAGCCTGGGATCACTGGTATTTTGGAGGTGTGTTGGTAGAGGGGAAAAGCTCTTTTTTAAATCCAAGTTGTACTTGTGGCAACCAAGACTGGTTTTCACATGTTTTTCAGGCCACCTGCCCTGAGGACAGTTACAAACAAAACCCAGAAAATTATTCTGAAGAAGTAAACAAAACAAGGAAGAAAAAAGGGGAGAGGTCTTAAAGCTGCTGGCGGGTGTTTGATGCCCTGAACTGCAACTCCCTTCCATTGCTCCCCCCCCATTACACCCATTTTTAATTACAAGCAGTCAAACTGTAAAGACCTTAATGGACATCTTAATTATTGCATTAAAGTTTGAAATGGAAAATTCCTCATTACGTGCCAAGCAGTAGGTCACAGCTGCAATAAACGGTGATATTTTGCTTGTTACAGTGCTGGGTGCCCTTTGCAGAATGTTGGTGTCTTTGGGGCATGTCCCGGCCCCGGGGAGCTGGCAGGTGGATGTTAGAGCAGCTCTCTGCTGGGAGAGCATCTGCTTGTGTTTTCAAGGCGAAAGTATCAGCGAGAAATGCTCTTTGCTATTTCTTTTCTCCTCCAAATAGTGTTATTTTTCTCCTGTGTTTTGCTTTCCATCTGCTTGAATGTGTTTATTGATTTAGTGTTATGCAAACTGCAATAAAGCAGTATCCTTCCAGTGCTCTAGAGCCAGCTATTGAATATGCCCCAAACAATTTAAATACAAACCGACCCATCAATGCCAGCCCACAGCAGCAATACAAGGTACCTGTGATTAATCAGCCTTTAAGCCCAGTCCCAGATTCCCAATCCCTTTCGCACCATCCCAGTCCCTGCTTGCTTGGGGCAGGCTGGGAAGCTGAGATCCAGCATGACAGGCAGGGTAGCCCTGAGACCTGCACAATTTAAGGAATGTGGCAGAGCTCCTTCTTTTCTCTCAGGTTTTACACAGTTGCAGGATACGGTGAAGAAGACCAGGGCAGGGTTTAAGGTGGGTCTGTGGCTTCTCGGAGCTTTTCAGGTCAAAATAGCTCAAGTCAGTATGACAGAGGTTGTCTATACCTTTGTAAGAGGAGCAAAAGGACAGGAAAAGTTGAAGATAACTCGCATTCTGCTAAATTCTCTTCAGCATCATTTTCATACCACAAAGTTTCATGTTTATTTCTGAGCACATTGAGGAGAAACTTAGTGGACTCTGCAGTCCTTAAAGATATTTTCTTGACTACATGACCCTACAGATGAGGTTTACAAATTCCTTTAGTGGTTATGTCTCCTTTTAAAATGTAACCCCAAACTTTTGCTCCCCCTGCTCCACATTAACTGCACAATGGTCAAACGAAGAGGGAAAGTGAATGCTGAGCCAGCAGGTGCTGGGACTCGCCAGCGCAGGCTCCGGCGGTGCGAGCCACCAGCCAGGGCTGCTCCATGCTGGGGCCAGGCTCTGCTCGCTGCCCAGCTGTGCCAGCCGTGCCAGCTGTGCCAGCCACACTAACAGTGCCTGCTGTGCCAGCTGTGCCAGCTGTGCCAGCCATACCAGCTACACTACCAGTGCCAGCTGTGCCAGCCGTGCCAGCCGTGCCAGCCATACCAGCCACACTAACAGTGCCAGCTGTGCCAGCTGTGCCAGCCAAAACAGCCATATCAACTACACTACCAGTGCCAGCTGTGCCAGCTGTGCCAGATGTGCCAGCCATACCAGCTACACTAACAGTGCCAGCTGTGCCAGCTGTGCCAGCCAAAACAGCCATATCAACTACACTAACAGTGCCAGCTGTGCCAGCTGTGCCAGCCATACCAGCTACACTACCAGTGCCAGCTGTGCCAGCTGTGCCAGCTGTACCAGCTACACTACCAGTGCCAGCTGTGCCAGCTGTGCCAGCCATACCAGCTACACTACCAGTGCCAGCTGTGCCAGCTGTGCCAGCTGTACCAGCTACACTACCAGTGCCAGCTGTGCCAGCTGTGCCAGCCATACCAGCTACACTACCAGTGCCAGCTGTGCCAGCTGTGCCAGCTGTACCAGCTACACTACCAGTGCCAGCTGTGCCAGCTGTGCCAGCCAAGCCAGCCACACCAGCCACATGACCAGTGCCAGCTGTGCCAGCTGTGCCAGCTGTGCCTGGCTCAGCAGCTCCCAGCCGGCCCAGAGCTGCCACATCCCAAATCTAACAGCTCCCTCTGTTGGCATCTGTTCAAACCTATCAGCGAGGATGCGAAAAAGTTGGCAATGTATTTCCTATTTTTTTTTTTAGCAGAGTCTCCAGGTGGCAGGTGAGCTGTCTGCAGGGCTCTATCCCACCTGACCAAAGATGTGCTTCGTTTGTGCTATTACTCCAACTAATATTGGGCCATGCCTCCTGATGCTGCACTCACCACAGCTCTGCTGAAGACATCTTTTCAGGCATTTTTCCAAAATAAGTGGGAAGAAGATGTAGCTGGGGTCCAATATATGAGTGCACACAAGGTTGCTGTGAGAATCTGCCAGCCCAGACATTCTCCCAGCACAGCCTCCCCGTCCTCTCGCACCAGCCCTAAGGAGTTAGTCACAGTAAATATACTTGATGTCTGTCTGTCCCTTACTGATCACGCAAATTATCACCTCTGCATTCGAAGGAAAATCAGACAGTGTGCAAATGATTCGCTGCCTTTATTTTTTTAGGTTCTTCCATAACAAAAACTCTCAGACAGCAAGCTTTGGCAACGTTGATTAAACAAAAAAAAATAATAGTACAGCTATGTAAAATGGTTTCAATACTTCACCAAAGAGGTACGAACATAATGAAACCCAAACCTCAAATGTACTTCTAATATTTAACTTATTAACCAGTTTAGAGAGACAGATAATCCAGACAGCCCACCAAAGTGTTAGCTGGATTTACAAAGAAGGCACAGCCAGCAGCACTGACTTTCCTTTGAAGACCTTCGTTCCAAATTCCCCAGTTTGCAGAGCCAAGGGGTGGCCAAGCTGCCTGGTTCCAATGCGAGTGGTTTAAACTTATCAACTCTTCCACAAGAAATGGTGCGACCAGCAGAGAGAACCAGAATCCACTCCTTGTGCTCCTGACCTGCAACACTGAACAGCCAGGGAAAATATTTTTTAAAAAAAGCACCTTTTTTTTTTAACTATGTCACTATAGAAAAGGCCGTGCAAACAATCTGCTCAGGCTGGACAAGGGACAAGGCTGGCAGAGATGGCTGCACAGCCTCAGGCCTCTTTGGCAAGCCTGGTTTGCATTTGCTCTGTGTGCCCTCCCCATTTCACCCGCTGATTTTAAGAGGCTTCCCAGCAGCGTTTGTGTGTCCTGGTTCTGCAGCACCCAAGATACAGGGTTGTACCTATGGTAGCAACCAGCCTTTTAGAGAAAAAGGCACAGAAGGAGTAGAAAATACTTTCTTATCTCTCTGGCTCCCAATCAGGCCACATTGATCCTATATTCTCTTGCAAAGTCATTAGGCAGTTGTATCTTTATCTCTTAATACCCCCCAATAAGTAGCTCAGCTTAGCTTAGTGGCACCCATTAGTGTCTCTGCAATTAAAAGGCTGCCATTATTTTCATTATAAACCCAGCTATTCAGAAACTTAATGTGGCTCTGACATATCTTCCAAGAAGAAATTTGGCCAAAACAAAAGGAGAAGCAGGGGATAATTCTTTTTTTTAAGGACAATGAATCTGAACCTATAGCTTTCCTGCACAGCAAGGTCCGTTAGGAAATCTGCTCCCAAGTCTCAGCTGAAGTTTTCTGGTAAGCATTAGAGAAATCAAAGAGATCCTTTCAGGCTGTAAGCAAGGGGTGGGAGGAAAAGCACGGAATTGCTTCAATATGAAATGTCATATTTAAAATAGATCCTACAAAACCAGAAACTGTAGGCTGGTAAATCCTTCCCTTCTAGAAATACTGTGGGTTTTGGTGGGAGTACCACGTAAAATAAGCATGCAGAATCAGGCCTCAAGTCCATAAAATATAGAATTTGGTACTTAAATTTAAAAATATTTATAAATAACTTAAGACATTCAGGCTCAGAGGCGTGTACAGCCAAGTATTTCCCTCTGACACAGGGAACCACAGGGATACACATCCGGTACTATGGATCCCTGATGCAGAAATTTGCTTTACACTTAAGGTAGAAAGAAAACCCGCCCACTGCAGGCTCTTAGGAAAGTCTCCTGTGCCCCTTTGAGAGCATGTGGAGGACACATCTAATCAAGCAGAAAGCATTCGGGAGTATAGATCCATAGCACAGAACATGACCTGTTCCTCCTATACATTCACAGCATATGGCAAAACAGCTCCCAGGGGATTCCTCGGCTGCGCCTGCACCGCAAGGTCAGCCCAGCTAAGCCTGACCAGGGCTGACTGCAGCTTTCCTCTGCTCTCACGTTGGAGATGGTCTGCCTTGGCTCGGGGCTGGAGTTAAAGCGACCCGGGAGAGGAGGGAGCCCTTGAGCTCTGCCCTTGAGCAAAGAAGGGGCTCAGCTGGTTTGAGCAGCCGGCTCGGCAGCCTCCCGGCTCAGCGCAAGCGCGGGGAAGGCAGAATTGATGCAACCTCACGCCCCTGGGACCACAGCAGACATCCAGCCGGAAGACTTCCTGGGAAGGGAAACCTTGAATTCATCTCACAACCCGTTCCCACGTACACCTGGCTTGTACCTGCCGAGCAGACCGCAAAATGAAGGCACGCGAGGGAGGGTGAAGGTCAGAGGTACATTCGTTTGGGTTGTTCCTTTCATGTAGTTCAGAGGACACGTGTCGCGTGGCAGCCCGAGAGCCGGCCACCTTCCCTGCGGTCCCAGGGTGGCAGAGCACGGAGGGACCTGCTCCCAGCACGGCCAAGCAGCTCCCCTCGGCGAGCCACCGCGCCGGGGCACAGCTGCAAACCGCGGGAGCCTTCGGTGACCAGCCGGGTAAGCTGCTTTGGCCACGTGGCTACTTGTCCACTAGACGTGGACTGGGGCAAACCGGTCACACGGGCCGTATCCTCACTGGAGATGCTGAGCTGGACGGCTCTACAGGCCGTCAGCTATGCCCTGAGCAAAAAATAAACTCTAAATTTCTTTTCTCCCATGGGTTTCATCCAGACCCATTATGCACTTGGTCTCAGCATATTTTTTTCCTGTTAAACACCTGAAAAAAAAAAAAATGTTCTTTGGCACTTGTGCGACAATGACACATAGTCATGACACTCTCCTGTCCTTTGGCTGCTTGATGGACTCATCTCTAGAGGTCCATATATGCCGAGTCTGTGTCCACCCTCTGGGCCTCTCCAAACATGAGGAATGCACAGAGGCCAATGCTGTTAACAGCAGCCACCAGGTTAAAAACAGAAATCCAGGAGCCAGTTGTTTCAATCAGGTAGCCAGCCAAGTACACGCAAATGACACCTGGGACAGGAGAGAAGAGAAAGAAACGCAAAGACTCTGGGGCCTGATCCTGCCCGCCTGCGAGGAGAGGACCGTCCCCCCCAGGAAAGGATTTGCTGCAGGAAGGTACTTTACCTAGGAGGGCTCCACCCGTATTCCCAACACCTGTAAAGAAAAGGGATTGTGTATTAGAAACCCACAGACATGAGCAGCTTCATCCCGGCTCCCCCCTGGCCCCCGCTCTGCATGCCCAGCTAAATGCCTCGCTGATGGCTGCGACAACCAACACTCCTCCTCATCCCCACCCTTGGGGCAGGTAAGCATTTGGCAAATTGAAAGGCATGTCCGCCCCGTGACCCGCCCAGGCAGTGGCAGGTATATCCTCGGAGGAAGCTGAGGCTGCAAATACAGAGTGGGTGCTGCACAGAGCTACTCCTGCTCAAACCTTAGCGTCGATGACCACGTCCCCTCCTGCACACACCACCTTCCCAGCACAACCAAAACCCCACCGGCATCCTTACCGAACAGTAAGCCGGCGCACGAGGGGGCCAGATCCTGTACATTTACTGAAATGCCACTGGTGAGAAACAGGGAGGGAAAAACGGCAGTTTTAACCGAGCACGAATGCCTTTTCATCCTTGACACAGAGTTTAGTTTGTCAAACAAAAGGAAGGGATCCTGGACAATAAATGGCACTGACAGGAGAAAGGAGAAAAGAGGCTGAGAGGCTGCTGCACAGGAGAGCCCCAGGAGGAAAAGGATTTAAATCAAAGTGGTCGGAGGGGCCAAAATGCAATTCCCCTCTTGCTTCATGTCCCTAATACCTGCTGGTCCAAGCTCTTCCCCAAACTAGAGGTTTGCTGCATCATTCCCAACCCAGCGGGCACTAAACTCCAGTGGCCTTGCAGGGACCAATACACGATGCTCAGATGAGCACCAGTTCTTGCTCTGACAGTCAGGACGAGGCAGCCTCCTCTGAGACCCCGAAATGCCAAGCGTGGGATAAGAGCTAAGAGCCACAACTACTGCCATTATCACCCTCGTTACCTGTGGTTGAAGGTCTGAAGCCCAACAGAGGCAGAGGCAAACACTATTGCTTTGCAAAAACTGGAGGTCTGGCCCAGGCACAAGGCAAAAATGCTTGAGACGCCAGAACCAATAACCTGGAAGAAAGGGAAAGTTAAATATCACAGCACATTTTCTGTAAGGAAGAAAGCGACTCCTTTCACGGACAAGCTGTTCCCTTTTACAATGGCAAGACCTCGTATGCACCAGGTGCTTCTCAAGCCTTTTTTTTGCTGGTGTCCTGCCTTTCTGTGTCAGAGGTCTGTCCAGAGGGATGTGATGCTACTGAACAGAGAAAATATGCTGTGCTCTCACCCAGAATTTCTATTTCTGTTCATCCTTGTATTGCTATTTCCTCAGTATCTACAGGGTCATTTGGAGGGATAGCGTATGGTTGGCCTTTGCCTGTGAAAGAAAACCTCTTTGGAGCACTCAGAAATCTCTGTGATCTGTTACTGTTGGTCCACGCTCTGTTCATCAGTCAGGTTTTCCTCTGGATTTCATTTCCCATACACACCGACCACCAGCCTGTCTGCAAAGCTACAAACCCTTTCCTCTTTCCACCTATAACCACCAGCCCAGCTCCACGCCGGGTCTAACCTGCCACGCAAGCAGAGATCAGCAGGAAGATCAAGTGTCACTCCCGTGGCTTCGGCACTCTTACCTGCATGAACTTACGAATGGTGATGGTTTTGTACCCTGGAAGAGAAAGGAGAGTTGCAGTTAAGCACAGCTCACCAGGTCTTCTTGTTCAGATGGCCAGATTTCATCTCCAGGTGGATGTTGTGGCTGAGATCAAAGGGAGCCCGGAACACAGGGATGGGATTTGGAACCTGCAGGATTTATCCTGCTTTAGCACAACCTCACATTGTCTATTTGCTGGGTCGTCTTCTCCCTACCAACAATCCCACCTCCTCCTACCCAGGTCCTCTTTCCACATCAACATAAAATAAGAGCTGAGGAAAAGCCAGAAGAACTCTTACCTTGGTTGATTAAATGATCTGACAGAAATCCACTGAACAAGCTTGTAGGAATTGCAACCAGCCAGGGGACTACATTAAACACCCAACCCTGAAAGGAAGCAAAAATCAAGAGAGGTTTCCTGTCAGAGCTGAGTCTGTTTGCAAATATTTTATTCGATAGTCTGTGGTATCTGTAGAAAGGGGAAAAAAAATGAAGTGATCAGGGCTTCTTGCAGGATCTCTACCCTCTTTGCACAGCAAGCTCTCAGCTACACCCTGGACCATTCCAAAGGCTGTAAGGTGGCAGGCACATCACAGGGCTGTAGCATTTGTAGGGTTGTTGCCTTCCCTTCTGTCCCCGTGACCCTGCATCCAGGGAAGAGGCAGAAAGCTCCGTCTGCTCTGGGAAAGAGGGATTAAACGTGTCAAAGTTTACTGTTCAGCAAGGTGATGTGGCAGAGAGCCACAGAGCCCTGGAAAGCAAGCTGTGGATTTTACTCTGCCCTGTGGGTCATCAGTAAAGCTGCCGGTAAAATTTCCGACATCAGCTTCCACCTCATTAGCAGCGTTACTGTGAATCTGAGGGAACATAGCTGGATTTTCTGACGCCAGGATTAGGTAACATGATGGGTAGCAACATACTTTGGCCTATTTTCAATTAAGCGAGCTTGCTACAGTTGTAATCACAGATGATTACTGGTCATCTGGATTACAGCTGCTCAGAGGCATTTTGGTGCCCAGATCTCACGAGGAGCTGAAATCGGTGCGGGTTGAGCTGGGCTTCATCTCAGCTGGTTGAACCTACTCATCCATCCACCGTCCCCCGCACCTTCCCCTTTGCTCGGAGCCTGTCACCCCGTGCAGGCATCCCTCCCTTCCTTGCCTGGCTTTAGGATGTGCAGGAGGGCTGAATAACCTTCATTTTGAATAATCCTGTTTCAGCTGCTCCTGGAAACAGTACCAGGGTCCACCTGCAGCTTTTGGTGCCTTTGAAACTTTGGGTCTTGGCCGTTTTCGAAAATGTTGCCCCATAGGGCTTTGTGGGGTGATATCTCTGGTATGTGTAAACACCAGCTGGGGTTGTTCAGCAAGACAATCCCGACACACCAAACCACCTTTGGCTCATCCCTACAGCCCATCACCCGGAGCCGTCTGAACCCAAACCCTCCATCACCTCCAGCCGGGTTGGGCTGCTGGCAGCGGTGGAGGCAGCTCGCCTGCAGAAAGGGACTGTGACCAGTAGGTGACACAGGTTTCCCACATGAAGGATTATCCTCCATCCTTTAAAATCAAGCATCCTCAAGCCCCATTTTATTAAAATGTATGAAGCGATTATCAGACGCAGGGACGCTATACAGAGCATCTTACATAAGGGCACCGGGATATAATGCTTAACAGATGGTAAATTACTGCTGCGCAAGCACATTACTCGAGGTGCACAGATCTTGTCACAACAATATGTTTGCTGGTTTAATACATGATTTTAATATAAATATCGAGTATGCCATAAAGCGCCTTACACACGTAATATGAAAAGGCATTTGTAAGCAGCTCTGGAAATGATAAAAACCTAACAGAGCCATTGTGGAAAAGACTGAGTTTCTGAGAACAAAATCAAAATACCAGTTCTCAGCCCAGATGAGTATTGCCTAGGTTTCTGAAAAAATGGGAACACCATTTGTGCTGAGGAGAAGGAAGCTTTTATAGTATTTTTGAAGTAGACATTATTAATGGGAATTATCATTTTTGCAGGCAGGTCTGAGATATAAAATGCCAGTACAGTTAAAAACCCCGTGAAAACCCAGGAGTGAATGACGGTCATTTGCAACAGCATAATGCCATGAGCTCTGTGCCATTTCATAACCATCCTCAGAAGAAAAGCAATCTAAAAACCAAATATAATCCTCTCCACCCTGCCTGGAAGGTGCCCCAGCTCTGCCTCACTTCAGCATCCTTAAACAAGCAACTAGAAACCAGCCTCTGCCTACGTGGAGAGAAAATGTTTGCATCTCCAAATGTATGTGCAGGGGGTAACGGCTCTGAACCCTGCGGGGAAACCTCCCACCTCCTCCTGCCTCCCAGCCTGCCCTCAGAAAATCCCTCTGCCATCATCTTCCTCCCTAACCAACCCCTTGCAGCAGGTCCCCAGCATGACCTCATTCGCACAGAGACCAGCAATGCCTGTGTCTCGGAGCCAGCTTACCTTTGACTCGGGGAAAGTTTCCTTAAAGAAAGTTGGCAGCCAGGAGAGAAGAGTGAAAAACGTGCTGGCTGTAGAAAGCTGAGCGATGATGACAGCCCTGAAAATACACAGCAGAGAGGAAATAATCAGGAGTGACAGGTCACACTAGGTGGGAAACGGGCACTCGAGCAACCCAATATTTCAGTTCCTGGTCTATAAATAAATCCCTCACAGCGCTGCAATTGCTTCCTGAGATTTTTTTCATCAATAACCACTGCTGTTGACTTGCCACTCGCAGCACCGCTCCTTCCTTCACTGCCCTCATCCCATCGCTCCCGGGCGGGTGCCTGACGTCAGCCCCGGGGCTTCAGGCGAGGTTAATTGCAGCAGCAATTGTGCAAGTGCATTTCCCACCAGTCCCTTCCAGTGCTGCATTTCCCACCAGTCCCTCCAAGAGGTGCTGTTTAGGGTTTTCTAGGGATTTGCTATCAGCAGATGCTCCATGGTTATTCAAGGCAGGAGTGGGCTTGCTGCCCTGCAGCCCCATCGCCCTCCTCCCCGTCTTTAAATGGCACTTGGGAACATGCTTGGATGAGCTTCAGAACCGAATGTGGCATCCTGAAGAAAAAATGGCTGTTAAAGAGGTGATTCGCCAGCAAAGAGAACACAGCTTGTGCCACCCAGTGCCCCGAGCAGCACTTCTTAGGAGCCCATTACAAGCAGCATTTCTAACAAGACGGGTGGAGAATGTCACTCCAGAGGAGCACAGGACTCATCCAGGGAACAGCCTGTGAAGGAGGAAGATTTGCCGGTAACATTCAAGCCTGACATTCCTCTGGACAGAACATAAACTGCCTTTTGTCATGCTTACTTTTCTAGTTCCTTATTTATATAGAAGGGATTAGAAAACCTGGTAATATTTCCCAATAAATAAATGGACAAAACACGCATAGCAGAAAAAATAAGCGCAGAGAGGAGAAAAGCCCTGGAAGGAGGGTGCTCTCCCAGCCCTGCCGACGCTCGAGGCCACGGCAGCTGCCTACCATATCGGTGCCTTCTTAAACAGCTGCTTCCAGGGAACTTTGGTCTGCTTGGAGATTGAGAGGCCTCTCATTAAATAGTCCATGGGGATGATGAGTTCTGCAGGGGAGAAAACATACACAGGAAAGCTTTGATCAGTAATTTTCTGTGCAGCTGGAGGCAGCCTTGGGAGATCGCTATACAACTACCTTTAATCTCCTTCTAACCCTTGTTTTCTGGCTATACCACCATTGAATGCTCATGAAAACACCTTGTAAAGTTGACCAGAATTTTTCCACTGCATCCACACACTTCCCCATCCAGCCACCTTCATCCATTTTTTATATTTCTTGTTATAATTAAACAAAAACCCCTTGGGCAGAGGCCAGGTTTGGATTTTGTGCAGCTCCAGGCACACTCTGGCTCTGGATAAGCTGGGTTCCTACATGTAGCGTTCGCACTAATATGCTATAACCAGGTGTAATGGTTTCCCCATGTGTGGAATTACTCCCAGACAGTTATTTGGGAAGAGATATTGTGGATTAACTGGTTTTTAAAAGCTTTATGTGTAGATGCTCTTAGTTTGGAATAAGTATCTTGCCCTGCTTTAGCTTAATCCACTTTGAAGATCATGCTCTGTTTGGTGTTTTCACTGGTGCTTAAGAGTACCGAGGAGTCAGATCAGGCTCTCGACAGCCATATAATCCAGCGTGGGTCTTGAAATAGGAAATCAGCAATGCAAGTGCTCAAACCCTTGTTTCTGGGTTTAGCATCTTGGGTGAGACACAGTGTGTATTATAGAAGGCATCTGAACAAAAGTTCTTTGTGTAAAACCAGGCGTGACCTTGGAAATACTGAGGATTTGGAGGAAATAACGGAGAGGCACCATTCTGGTCCCTCAGGCTCAGCAGTGCTGGCTGCCCCGGGGGTGTGGGCACCCGGATTTACCTTTCTCACTCAGGAGGTACTTGCAGGTGCAGTAAACCCAGAGCAAAGTGAGCAAACCGGAGAAGTAGAAAACGCTCTCCCAGCCATACCAGTCCAGGAGGAGAGATCCCGCACCACCGATCACCAGCGTCCTGCAAGGAAAACCACACTTGGAGGTACAGGTGGGGCTAGGAGCATTCGGGCTGCACACCTCAATGGGAGATGCTTTGTGGGGTGGATGCTGGGGGTCACTAAATACACTTAAAATAGTCGTCAGTCACTGCCTGTGCGGGCACTGCCCGCCTGCCCCATCACCCCGTGGCTCTGCAACCTGCACTGTTCCCTGCCTGGCATCTCGGGATCCATTCCGGGCAGGAAAAACCGAAAATGAGGCTGCTGGTGTGCAGAAAGTATCTCAGAGGATGTAGAAATCAGCAGAAGAAATGAGTACCATGGAAAACTAAGTGATTAAGCACGGTAATATTTCTATTTGGCTTTTAAGCAACCCTTCCATTTAGAAAGGAAATTCTTATGGAGATTAGCAGAGTTGGGAAAGTTATATTATCCTCATCTATCAGAGAGGACAGGTGACTAGTCTCGGGCTGACCCTTGTTCTTCCTAATGAATTAGGTTGTTTCCCATAGTAATTAAATGTTGCAAAACACTCTTCTAAGCCTGGCTTGAAAATAAAGGGGAAAAAAAAACAACCAAACAAACCAAACAAAACAACATAAATCCTTGACATACACGACAGCAACTGCCTGAGGCTTCCTCAGCTGCAGCCACTATCCTCAAGGACCCAGGAATCCGCATGTACTTCGGGCTGAGAATTTTGCCTCCAACTATTTAATGGCATTTCATCACGTATGATGTCCAGACACTGTCACTCGCTGTTCAAAGCTTTTTGAACTTACCCAAACTGTGAGCCAGTCCCCACTGTGCTGTAGGTGAAGGCTCGCTCGCTTTCCCGGACCTTCTGGGACAGCAGGCTGGCCAGGGATGGGAAATACACCCCTGAGAGCAACAGGAGCAGGACAGGGACCTGTCAGGCTCCTGTGCCCTCATGAGCAAATCAAAAGCAAATTTAAAAGAACCAGCAGGAGCCAAACACCGAGACAAAGCAACAAAACTTTTGGTGAATTCAAAACAGTGATATAAAATAAAATAAGTGAATCCAACACCATGGAAGGTTTGTTTGTGCCTTCGCCATAATCCCCTGTTTCATCATCACTGCTGCTGCTGTAAATCCATCGGTGTCAATGCACTTACCCCAACGGTTCCCCAGTGCTGCAGCTCAGCAAAAGGGAAGGAAAATCATCCCAAATTATCCAAAAGTTTTGGTAAGGACCAATTTTCCCCAAGTGCTTTGAAGGAGTTGTAAAATGTGGAAAAACAAGCAGGAACAGTGATGATTTCAGAAGACAGCAGCCCCTGTTTGGCAGAGAGATTTCTACAGGGGAATGATTTGTCAGTGACTTTCTCTAGAAATGTCACTTATTTTTTTTCCCATGGAAGTTTTGGATGTGGAGGCAGTTCTGAGGCAGAGGATTCCTTGGACATGCACGAGAAGGCTTCATGCACTGCAAACCACATGACTTGCATCAGAATTTACTGCACACAAGCCCCTCTGCAAGGATGCCCCTGGGCAGACAGACACGCGGACACGGGCTCCGGACAGGGGTCTCACCTTGCAGCAACCCCATAAGGAACCTGGAGGAGGTCATAAAAACGAGATGGGCAGAAGTGATGTGGGTGAGCAGAGGGGTGAGCACCGTGAGGAACCCCCAGGCTGATGCCGAGAGGAGGAGGACTTTCTCACCTCCTATTCTGGAAGACAGAAAAAACGTTATCAGGAGCAAGGGAAGGGCAAAAGGGCAAAGTCCCCCAGTCAAGACTCGAGAGTTCTTTCCAGTTAATCCTGTTTTTAAGAGCAACCTTTCAGTCAAACCTGTTCTTCTCTTCAAAACACCTTTAGCCCTCTGGGGAGTAGCTCTGACCTCCTCCCTTCCCACCCCCTGCTCCCCTGGAGCAGGCAGCCAGCAGCCGGCCGCTGGCATCCCTCTCACAGGGACACTGGCCACCAGTGCTGCCCATACAGCTCCAGCACACACCAGCCCCAGAGGCACCACCGCCCCGATGCACCCAAGGCTCTGATGGAGGGGAAGCCCAAGCTGCTGCCACCGTGCTGCTTTTAACCAGCGACGGTGTTTTCTCTTCCATCTGCTCTTTTGCACCAGCTCTGCCTGTTAACATTTGGGTTTTCGCAGGCGGTTTGCTTGCAAACCATTAAGGAACATAATTAAATAGCATAGTGCACTGCATGGATAATGTACTCCTTCCAGGCATGTGCTCCTCACAAAAGATTTCATAGGAAAGCCCTCCTCGCTGAGAACAGGGCGGCTGGGGAAAGGAAATCAAGCAGGTAATTACTCAGATCTTTCCTTACAGCTAGCTGGGGAAGTTGTTTTTTAATTGATATGATAAAATGGAGACACTTGGGTTTTCCTAAACATGATAGAAACTGTGATGAGGGCTTGCTTGTGGAAAGATTGCATGAGAACATAGGGTGGAAAAACTGGAGGTGCTGAACTGAAAACAAAGATAGACTATGCAGATCAAATAGGAAAAAGCTGTATTCCTTGCAAAAAGGAAATATTTTCTTCTGGTGGTTAGTGATTGCTATAAGCCCTGGCAAATGGCTGTCCAGCACTGCTGGGATTAAACTGTTTGTCAATGAACAAATAACAGTCCCAGTGAGCAGCAGCTATGAACTATGCAAAGAGAACCAGAATTTATCACTTTTCTGAAATAAAGTCTGCTTTACACCCACCGTTTCTTTCATCAGCTTAACATGTAAGCTTGTGAGTTTGCTTTTTTTATTCAAATTACCGAACCAGTGCTAAAAACAACCTCCATCAGAAAAATTATGCTGGTATAAAAGTGCTCTGCACTGTTTCCAGGCGAAAAAAACCCTTATGCTGGTCTAAGTGTCCATTAACATGACTGTGGATTTCTCCTGGCAGCTGCTCTGCAGGAACTGTCGAGGCAGCAATGATCGCATAGACACTCCCTGTGTTTGCTGGGGAGTTTGCTTGTGCAAAGTCCTTCAGTGCATACTGCCCTAGAAGCACAGCAGCCATTTCAAGACCCAGGAATCTAATCGGACAGTCAAAACTATGCATGTCCTTTCTGAATCAGAGCTATAGACCCTGCGTGAGGCCGATGGAGAGACCTCAACTGCTTCCAGAGCAACCTGCAGCGCCCCATAAAGCTTCTCCCCATGGACATGCTTCACCCTTCCACCCCATCACTGTCCCAGGGTGAAACTTGGCACAGCCACTGTCAAACCTGGCATGGAGAGGTCAAAACCAAGCTAAGTGTCATTAACAAAGCCCGAGCAGAGGAAAACGTGAGAAAAACTTCCAGTACTGGTCACTGATATGTCCTCCGATAATCTGTGTCAAGCAGTAGCCCCAGAAGAAGCTGCTGAGCACGATGCCAGACTGCTTCTTGTCCCAGCTGAAGTGGGTGCTCAGGGCGACGGCGCAGATGGGCACGGTGACGCGGGCGCAGTACAGCAGGCACGTCCCCAGCAGCAACATCACCGTCCAGACACGGGACTCGGTCCTGCAAGGATGGAGAAGAAAATGGGGAAAGGGCGGGCGGAACGGTCTGCCTGGGAGATCCCTGCACGGCGAGGATTTACAGGTCAGGCTGGTTTGCTTGCAAGCTGAGTCTGTCCTGATAAAATAAAGGTCAGCGCAACCCCTCTGTGGCACAGGGGTTCTGCGTATCGCATGTGGTGTCTTTTATGAATGAGGCTAACTTTCATCCCAAAAACTTTGTGACCCCAAGAGCAAAATGATGTCTGTCCACAGGCTGCAAGGTAGAACGGGCTGCTGGGGCATCGCTGACTGTGGATGGAGGGAAAGTTGGGGGGAAAACCTGGTCCGTTTGCTTTTTTCCCCAAACAAAAGCTTTTGAAACTGTTCTTTAAAAGATAAGGATAACAAAGGAAAGGTCAGTGCATGAGGTTAGAATCATTTGCATGAGACACACTGTCTTGGTAGCAAACATTTGTTATTTGGCATTCCGACCCATTTCCCAAGGGAGGTGGGGTGTGTGTTACCCTTCCTAAACAGGAGGGAGGTGGAGGAATTCTTTAGTGAGAGACAAGACATGATGGGGCTGAACAGCCCAGGGAGAGGAGCAAGATAATCCAGCCTGGCCTGATAAGAAGTTTAAGATAATATGAGTAATATGTTAACAGAATATATGTTTTGGTACATGAGTACTCAGCCCCAAGAAAAGTGCTCCTGCAGAAGATACAGGCTGGAAATAAGTGGCAAAGCAACTTTCTCCTGCTCCAAGTCAGCGATGTGCTTCTGGAGCAGAGACCCACATTTTGCTGCAAACTTCAGGCCCCGGGGTGTAGGTGAACTCCTCTGCCTTCCCACAGCCCCACTAACGTCAGCCTGGGTCCCCCTTTGCCCCTGAATTATGGAGTTAAAAGGTTAGGAAGAACACCCACTATTTGTATTATTCGTATTTGGTTATTTTTATACCCAGAGGCCAGAGCACAAAGCACTGAGCAAACAGACTCTCTCTGCTCCAGAGATGACTGGGGAATTCACTGTACCAGGGCATTAACCTCTGTGCTTTCCACCCCACTAAACATGCCCACCTTCTGCGCAGGAAACAACCTGAGTCACTTTTTATATTGAACTGAGCATTTATTTCTCTGTACTGGAATTATGATAAATGTAGGCTAACGCCACACAGCACAAACCCATTTATAAACGTGTCAAATGGCCCGTCACAGTGGGAGGCAAAGGAACAATGAAAAGTAAAACACACCGGGCAGCTGTGCCCGCTGGAGGTGAATTTATTGTTGTTCCCCAACAAGGCAGATATGCAGCTCAGTGCCAACCTCTGGCAGGAGGAACTGTGTTTCAGTTGGTGCTTTGAAGGTTGGAGCTGTCTTTACTGTGCATATGGACAAAATAACACAGGAACTAGAAAACCTCACATATCTCTGCTGGAGGAATAGGTAACCAAGGGTTGACCTGCCTCAGCCATTTGAACTGCCTGGTAAACACTCTGAGTCTCTCTTGGTCTTATGCCGAGAGGAAGATATGCAGCAATCCTAGCTTAATTCTCCACAAAACACCAAAGGTGATTTGTTTTTTTAATCATCTGCCCCAGCCAGCTCCAGCAGCAGCGACTCCACCGGCTTCAGCTTGGCAAAGCAGAGCAGAGCAAAACCAAACCCGGGTCAGATCAACCCCAGCAGGACGATACGGGCAGGAGTTTTGGGGTATAAATCCCCCCAGAGGGCAGGTGGGGGGGAATGGGAGATGGAAAATATTATGGAGGGTTGTCTCAAGACAATTTGAGATCAGCTGCAGGTATAAGCGGCCGATCCTAACCAGTGCTTCCGCACCAGCAGAGATGGGCTCTTGCCAGTCTGGGGCCATAATCTCTCCTGTTATCTACAGTGGCACAGCCCTGATTAATTTGAGCTGTTGAACCTGCAACAATTGAGGTGTCCAACTAAAACGCAGCAGGCTGCTGTGTGCGTAGGTATTTCCTATTATTTAGCTGCTAAGATAGTTTTCTAAATTGTGCTTTTCCCCCTGAAGCAAAGGGAGACCTTTATGAGCTTTTTCGCTGTCTGGAGCAGGTCTGAGCTCTCCCTCTTCTCCCAGCAGTTATTCTAATGAGCACAGCAGCATTTTAATGCGATATTAAATTGACAGTTCTTCCCTGGCCCTAAACCCTGTATGGCTGTTGTTGTGGTTTAACCCCAGCCGGCAACTAAGCACCACACCACGCAGCCGCTCGCTCATTCCTCCCCCTGCCCGGTGGGATGGGGAGGAGAATGAAAAAAAAGTAAAACTCGTGGGTTGAGGTAAGAACAGTTTAATAACAAAAATTAAATTAAATATAACAACATAATAATATAATTGTAATGAAAATGACTATAATAAAAAGGAGATAAATAAAACCCAAGACAGACAAGTGATGCACAGTGCAATTGCTCACCACCCGCCGAACGATGCCTGAGCAACGATCTGCCCCTCCCAGCCAACTCCCCCCCAGTTTATATACTGAGCGTGACACCCTATGGGATGGAACAGCCCTTTGGCCAGTTTGGGTCAGCTCTCCTGGCCACGCTCCCTCCCAGCTTCTTGTGCCCCTCCTCGCTGGCAGAGCACGGGAAACTGAAAAGTCCTTGACTTGGGATAAGCACTACTTAGCAACAGCTAAAACGTCAGTGTGTTTGCCAGCTTTATTCTCACACCAAATCCAAAACACAGCACTGTACCAGCTACTAGGAAGAAAATTAACTATCCCGGCCAAAACCAGGACAGGTTATGCAAGGTGTAAGATGGAGGAGGAAAAAGACCTGTGCAGCTCAACTAGTCTTTACTCTGCTTCTCTTTATAAAATTTCCAAGGTCTGTTCCCTCCAGTGGGTGTTTGCAACTAGGAAAAGCAAAACCCACACGCAGCAATGCCGGTGTCCAAGGAAGGTGCAGGTGGGGGGAGCATGGTTTGGTGCTAATGGATTGAACCCAAAAAGCAATGAGGAGGCTGCAGAGCAGCTCTGGCTTCAGGGTGGGGGGGATGCTGTGAGCTCCCAGCCTTTTTTCTCACCACGATGAGGTGGGCAGAGTCACCCGAGCCCCCGGCCCCTGTGTTGGGGGCACGCAGAGGGGTTTGGGGGTGGGAGGAGGGAGGCAGCCAGGCTAGCAGTGCCGGGCTATCCAAGGAACAAGTCTGACCTGCCTGAGAGCGGGCACAAAGCGCCCTGCAGCTCTCTGCAAAAGCACAACGCCGTTCCCAGTACAGCCCAGCGACAGCAGTGGGAAGGAATTGCCAAGCAGAGACTTTCTCCCGACAAGCCTCTTCCCCAGCTGATGTTTTGACAAAACTCCAGTGAATATTTTTCTCTTGACTTTTATTCTGTTTCAGAAGCACTAAATAAGTCTCTGGGTGTACCACACAGTCTCAATGCTCTCTTTGATCACTACTTCATTCTATACATTTATATCATTTTCCTACATATTTAAATGCATTGGTAGAGACTTATGCTCAAAACAAGAGGGGAGGATAAAGACGGCTTCAGACTACCACTTGCTCCATAGGTAGCACATCCTGCTAGGAAAATACACTCAAATAATGAGTGTCAAATGTAATCACTTGCTGCCCACACCCACCTGAAAGCATGGCAAGAATTATTTCTCTGCAAGGACAATGATGTGCTTGCATCAGAGGAAAGAGCTTTGTAAATGCATTTTCTCCTAATTATAGTTATCGCAGAGGCTGCTGATGAGTCAGTGTTCTGCTCAGTGCAAAACAACAACAGCAAAGGTTATGGGAGAAACCTCGACTAGCACAAAGGGGAAAAATTAAAACTCTCCTTCAAAATCTATGAAATAATGACAGATCAAACAATAGTTTTGGAGGTAACACCAGCCACCCGAGAAGCGGAGCTTTACCAGCATTAACAAATTAAATTTAATGGCTTCACTGATGAGGGAGGTAGAGATAATCCATGCTGGAGATAACCGAACTGAGTCAGACTGAAGGAAGTCACAGCCCTTGGTGACACCGTGCCCATCTCACCAGCCACGTGGACAGACCAAGCGTCTCCCCACAACCCCGTGCCGGTCCCAGCCAAGCCCCGGCTTCATGGGGGCAGAAATCCCGGTGAGAGGGGGCAGCCACCTCCAAACCATCGGCGGGTGAATCACGGGAGCTTGTCCAGAGCCACCTAATTAACTTAATTGGGTGCTGTGTGAGGGGGGTGGCTCCTCGCTGCCCTGGGCTCTCCCGACATGGCATGCCTTTCTGCTTACAAGAAACGGGCACTGCAGGTGCATCCCTTCTGCATGTCACTGAGACCCTCCTAACCGAGCGAAGCAGCCATGCAGCTAGAAAACACTTCCTACTTCATAAACCTCCAACCACCACTCAGACAGACTATAATTAGCTCAAGCCCTAATGATTCTTCCTGGGTGGATTTTTGTACGGCAGCAGCCCTATATTTGAGCAGCCCTGGCTCATGTCCCTTGGTTCTCCTCCTCCAAACGCAGCCCCAGGCACTGGGTGGTCACAGCTTTGCTTCGAAGCATCCAGCAATTCCCCTGGGACCCGGCTCCCACCAACCAGACAGGTCCCCCATCAAGGGCACGGTGGTTAAAATTGATTTTCAAGGATGCCTGAGAGCCCCAACGGGATAAAACCAAGCCGAGCCATCCCACGGTAGAAGGAGAGTATAGGGTATCTTTATTTGCAGCGTGTTTTCCTGCTGGAGGAATTTCTCTGGTAGATGCCACAGAGCAAATATTTATTCAACTTTATTTCTCTTGACTTGCCTCCCTCCTTTTCCCCAGTCTGCAGGTTTGTCTGTTTGCAGACACTGCAGGTCACTGTTAAAATGGACTTGCTGCAGTTTAGGCTATCAATTAGATTACAGTTTAGCCCCCCCCTTCAAGGCACAAGTCTGGACCGTTGGGTATTTTCAGGTGGTAAGAGAGCTGTGTTAGACAGCAAAACTACGAACAGTCTGTCCCAGCAACAGCCCTTGGCCAGAAGCCATCCCTGAGGTTCGTGGGTGTTTTCCATAACTGGAATTGGAAGTGGGAGAAGACCTGGGAGCTGCAGCTCCCGATCTGCATCCAAGCTGCTCCATGGCCAAGGTGGGCACAGGTACCGGCAGCCAGGCATGCTGCCCACACCCAGGACAGCTCTACCTCGGTTCTTTTCTGTAAAAGGAGCCTGAAAATAGCTCTGTGGGAAGATGCCCGGAGGGTACGTCAGCTGGAGCCACCTCCAGTGCCCCCCAGCCCGCTCGCTCGTCCCTGCAAGGACCCCAGGGATGAGCCCCGTGGTGGTACCGAGCTCCAGCCACGCTGGAGGGCCCCCAGCTCCAAACCAGGGCCACCCAGCAACCCAAGCCTGGGGCCACCTCCCAGAGGAACGTCCCCAGCACGGGCAGCCGGTGCCTGCAGTCCCCCTCACGCCTGGTCGCCTGCCACACCGCAGCCTGGGGACGTTTCCCTCCTCGTCACCCATTCCCAGCCCCGTGGGAGCATCCCCCTTCAAAATCCTCTTTTCCAGCCTACCTGCCTATGGCTTTAATTTACAGTAATCTCCAACACAACCACAGCCTGACTGACGTGGCACAAACACAGCGGTCATGCAGACACTCCTGTGCGAGGAGATAATACCCAGGTAGTTATTTTTAACCTGGTTTGACAGTCCTTTCACTTCTCTCTGTTCTTCTCAACAACAATTTCTCCTTCCCTTCAAAATCTAACATGCTTAGGTTTAGCCAACCAAGCCAAGAGAGAGGTTTGTTGTTTTGTTATGTTTTTTTTTTTTCCCCCCTTCTTCGAGTTGATTTTGTCGTGCTGCAGACCGGCTCCAAGCTAATGATTTGTCGCTGTCAAAAGCAGCTTTGGGGTTTAGAGGAGGGTTTGTTTTTTCCAATCCACCAGCTAACAGCCAACGAGAGCAGCACAGAGGACACAGGGCTTTTTTTGCTGGGAAAGCTGCTGGTTTCCTGTCAGCCTCCTGTGCACAAACTCCCTCTGCAGAGCTGCAGATGGCAACAAAGTGGTGTTCAGCAAGCGTGGCTCTGGGTTTATTCCCTCTCTTCATTTCTTGCTTTCGGCAAAAGCAAAGATGAAATTAGATTTCAGTGGCTCGTATGAGCTAGAAATAGTTGTTAAGTCGAGGTGGATGCAGTGGGAAAATCTAATAATGAAGCGCACGCGTGCTTTGCACGCTGATCTAAGGGCATACGGGGTTCAGCCAGGAATGAAACACATGTCTTGCTTACTTTTTCCATGTGAAAAAAGTTCTCAGCAAGAGCATGATTAAAACCAGGGTGAGGAACTAGTACAATAAAAAAAAATAAAAAAAAAAAAAAACCACCCAAAAAACTAACCACCAGAAAAGAAAAAAAAATGCAACTAAAGCTGCAACACTGTTGACAAAAGCTCAGGGCACAGAACTCAGAAAAACAACGTGACCGTTAGCTTCGGGCAAAGAACACAGACAGGCGACTGGAGACCAGCTTGTGGCCGTGGTACAACTCCTTTCATCTCTGGAGCTTAAAGGAACTGCTATAATAATCCCTGGTCTTCAGATGTAGTCAGAGCTTGGGAGATGCAGAGTGGTTTCAGGAGTCATTTGCTTCCCAGGACACACTGCCTTCTCCGTGTTGGCATTTCTCTCCTGGAGGCACCATCCAAAATGTGATCCCCATGTCTACTGCTGGATCTGCCGGTGGCTTTGTGTGCAACCTTCAGCAATAGGTTTCTCTTCTCAGTGCTTTGGTCTTCCCCCAGTTAAACCTGAGATGCTAAAACACATCTACTGCCTGAGGACTCCTGCTTTGGTACGTTAAGATCTCCCTAGAAAAGTGCTATCTGAATGTCCAGATGTGCTACACAAACGTGAGGGCTTTTTCAGGCGCCCAAACAGAAATGCCCGAGTGTTGTTCTTGGAAGAGGAAGAGGAGATGTTGGAAACCTGCAGGAAAGCCATTGGAAACCTGCAGAAAAATTTGGGAAAGGCAGCCGGAGAGGCAGGATAAAACGTAGGGCAAGAACAGTGGAAGAGGAAGGAAAAGCCAGCTGAAAAAAGGGAGGACAAAAGAAGAAGCAGAGTGAACAAAGATGGACAAATAAACCTGCCAAGATAACTGTTTATCTCTCCTTGCACTGACGGTGCAGACAGACCTTGGAAGGCTGCCTGGCATGTCTTTTGATGGAGCATGAAAGAAGAACCCATGTCACTTCCCCTCCTTGATAAAACCTTGCCTGCATGGCAATAACTCATTACTTGGAAATGTTGAGAGCTATCTATTTGCATACGCTGTTCAAAAACTGTCCACCGAACTGATCTGAAATCATCCAATGAGGCATTTTATAAAACCTGACCAACTTGCTTGCACGGTCTGGTGGATTGCTCCCCTTTTCCGCTCCCCCCTTCCCGTTCCCACCCTCTGCCTGTCCTGTTTACTTTCGACCATAAAACCTCTATAAAACCTCCCCAAACAAGGGCTGTGACCATGCATGTGCGTCTTCACCAATCAACAGGGAAGTGATCTCTGCTTCTGTGAATTACTGCAGTATAGATAAAGATCTGATTGGAGCTATGGTTATCCTGCTGCTCTTTCACATTAACCAGATTCTTTCAATTACTAGCAGCACTTAAGATGGTCAGAATCACTTCAGAATACGTAACTCTTGGTGAATAAATCAATCTCTTCCGTTTTGGGAAGTGTTATAGATGGTTTGCATTTTTTTAAGAGATTTGGGAAACTGGAGGGTTTGTTCTGGCTAAATGTATTACATTTTTTTCTAGAGGAAAAACACCTAAATGGAAACTTTGCTTCACGAAAATTTGGTGGGAGGATCTTCCTCTCCCACCACTCCCATTTCACAAAGACTTGGGGAAAAATTAGAAAGGGGGAGACAGAGCGAAGGAATTTTCCTAACTGCTTTTGGGGGAAAAGAATCTTAAAATTTTAAGCAACCCTAGTGTCAAAGGTGTGCTTTTGAGACCTGCCCCTTACTCTTGACTTAGCATGGGTTTGATTGACCTTCCAGGTCTCTGTCTGCAAGAAAAGTCTCCTTCGGGACAGCAGTTTAAAGCCAGCTATCAGCCTCCTGCCAGTGCAGGAAGAGATTGTCAATCAACCTCAGTTTCTCCAGCGGCTAATTGCTGCTGGAAGGGGCAATTCCTCCCCTCAGCCTCGCATTCCTGGGCGTTGGCACCGATGCCACCTGCCCCCACGGCTGTCCCCCCACTCTCCTGATGGGGTGAGCTCTCCACGGGGCCACACCGGCTCCCAAGGTGAAGGGGAGCCGGGACCCCAAACCAAACTTCAAAAGCGCGGAGGCCACACGGTGAAGTCCAGGGGCTCCCAGTTCGGAAAAACCTCTGACCATCACTTCCAGCTGCCCCGCGGCACTTCTGAATCACCGTCTCACCCCACCTCGGATGGTAGAAGCGGCAGATCCCGAGGCCGAGATGCTGGGTGACTTCCCGGGGCGGCAGAGAGGAGCGGCGCTGCCCCAGGTATCCCAGCTCGGTCCCCGACTCGCAGCCTCCGCTCCAGACGCAGAAGCGCCCTGCGTTTGCTTACACCTCTACTGTTAAAAGTAGTCACTTTGGGCTTAATAGTATTTTTAAGTATTTTAATTACTTAACTTGAAGAACAGTTCATGCCGCTTAGCTGCTGCCCTGCTACTATTCCAGACTTTATCTTAATTAATTACTATCACCAGTACAAACATCCCTCCTGGAACACTTTGATAAGAACCTCGTAGTGGTTTTAACGGCATGTTTAAATAACTGACTCCAGGCCAGAAATAAGCTCAATAGACTTACTTTTTTTTTTTTTTTTTTTTTTTCCCCGACTTTCACAGTAATTCCGTATCTTCCCCCTTTCCTCTCCTGTCTCTGTTGGAGCCCGGCGGGGTGAGACGGCGGGGGCTGCCCAGGGCGGTGGGACCGTGTCCCCCGGTCCCGCTCTCCTGCACCCCCGCGGCAGGAGGGTCTTGGGGGGCAGCGGCCCGGCGGGGAGCACCGAGCACCTCCCGAAACCGCCCCTCCGGGGAACGCTTCAAGCTGCCTCCATCCCGATGCTGCATCTTTCCCAGGAGCTGCATCAGGAGGTGGCGGAGGGAAGGGGGTCTCCGGTTGACCTCGACCTCGGCGGGGGGTCCCGGGAGGGGGACCCGCCGGGGGATGGGGGGTTGTTTGTGTGGGGGGGGGGGTCCCGGCCGAGCGCTGCGAGAGGGTGAGCGGCTTTAGCCTTACCTGGACCAGTACGGGTCCCCGCCGCCATCCCTCCTCGGGCCGTCGTGCTGCGCGGCCCGGGGGCCGTGCTCGGCGCTGCCCACCGGCCCCATTCCTGCCGCCGGCACCCGCGGCCATGCGGGCGGCGCCTTCCGCCTCCCCCGCTTCACATCGCGGCGGCGGCCGCCGGCTCCCTCCCCCTTCGCCGATCGCGGCCACGTGTCAGCGCCTCCCCGCCGCCTCCCGCCGCGCCGTTCCGGGAAGTCCCGCCGCTCGTAACGCGGCCGGGCCCCCCCCCCACCCCGCGCTGGCCGCTGCCCGCGCCGGGGGCAGCCTCGAACCCGCGGCCCCAGCGTGCCCGGCCCGCGGCGGGCGTCGTTTGCTCCCACCCATCACCCGCAAACTTGCGGGGGTCTCTCCCCCCCCCCTCCCCTTTTCCTCCGGTAAATACTCCCACCCTCCTCGGCAAAATCTTTCGGGGTTAATAGAGGGGGGTTAAGCGGGGTCTACTCCTCTCCCCCCCAACACCTGGGAAGCACGACACTCCTGGCGCTGGTGGCGAGACAGCCCCCTGCTCCTCCAGCTTTCATCGGTGTGCCGGCAGAAAAGTCTCTGTGCGTCTGCTTTTTAAGGATGAGAACTGAATACGATATTCCCATCCAAATAATTTAAAGAGAAAATAAACGGGAATAATCCATATTTTGTAGAGTCTGATTTAACTCTGTTGGGTAGAGCTGCTGCCTTGCTGTAAGTACCTGGGAGAGATAATCAGACTCCTTTATGGAAATAGATAATTAAAATGATGGTTATCTCGGTGCAAAACGAGGACTCACTTCAGGAATATGAGTGCGCAGGCGGAGGCGCTTTGTTAAGACACAGTTCAGGTGATTCGGTGGCCGACAGTCGCTCGGATGGGGGCACAGCCAAACTCCAGGGCAGCGGAGGCTGGAGGAAGCTCCCGCTCAGCCTGACCAAGGTCGTCCCTGGCCCCTGGGAAAGGTACCAGAGCTTCTGGGCTGCGCCAAAAAGGCCAGGGTGCAGGTGCAGGGCAGGCATCTCCCAGCTGCTACTCCTGCAGCCAGCAGCCTGGAAATGCTCCCTGAAATTAAGCCTGCAGCAGACTCATGTTTAGCTAACTCGCCCCTTCTTCTCCCACCAGGAATACACGGCAGGGCCCTGAAGAGAAGTTAGCTACTTAAATCAAGAGCTGTAACAGTATTATTGAGCTGAACCTTAGTGAAGTGGCAAAAAGGTTCCTCATGCACAAAGAGACAAGTCCAGGAGGAGGTTGCCAGGGCTGACAAAAGCAAAAATCATAAAATCATACTTTGTCCTTTGCATCAGCGTTTCTTCCTCTGGGGAAAGAGATCCCCCCTTCCAAAACGCCTGCTGCATGGTCACACAGACCTGCTACCAACGGAGAAAACAAATACAACAAGCTTTGGTACAAGTGGAAACTGAGGGCAACCACGTGTAGCAACCACAGGGCTTAGCGTTCATGCAGTTGCAGGCTTTTCTCCCTTTATTTGGACACAGAGCTGGAAACTATAAAGTATTTTTATTCACTCTGCTACTGTGCCCATTTCCAGAAGAGGGAGCCAAGTCATGGTAAAACGCAGCCAAAAATCATTGTTCAGCATGTTTAGGTGGGGTTTTTTGGTTTTTTTGTTTTTTTTGTTTTTTTTAATAGTGTATGTGTTTGGAGTTTAGTTCATCTGAGGCAGGAGGGGAGATGAGTGCAGAAGTGAAATGCATGTAATAAGCTCAGAAGAGAACTGAAGAGGTCTCGGGCATGGTACAGTAATCACAGAGGGAGAAATCTTATTAACTCACACCGGTGTATGAGTTAATACTGCGGTAAGTCTCACTGCTGTGGGATGCCAGCACCTCCAACACAGACACTGCAACAGTGGCTACTAACTTACTAAAATTACGATTCAGTTTGGAAATCAGGCACCTCACACAAAGTTTTATTTGCTCTACTCCTTAGTTCCCCTCCTTGGACTGCTCAGTATCACCTCTTCAATTAATAGCTGCTTCGACTAATTTGCTTCTCACATAAGAACCTAGTTTCACTGTCAAAAATAGCAGTTAAAAGTGTTTAACATCCATCACATGCACATAAATAAGTTTAAAAAGTAAAATCACAGACGTTGCTCCTTTTAATGCTGCATAATTTTCTGGGAGCAAGCCTCCCACCGAGCTGATTAAATGGCAAATGGAACCAGTTCAGAAGACAGGTGCTGACTAAAGAAAATAATCTTATGCAAGAACACATTCACCTCTAGTTTTTCCTGTGTTCAGCTTAATCTGTCAAAGGCTTAAGCCAAACAAAAGATTATTGGGTTAATATTTGAGCTGACATTTGCTATCAAGGAAGTTTATCCACACAATGGTTGTATTATTTGAAGATTTTATGAAGTTAAGCACAGATCAAGACCGAATCCTGAAGGGGCATGAAGGGAGAAATAAACTCACATGTTCCATAAAGGGCAAGCGCTGCCTCCTGAAAGGCCAGCCCAGCTGCAGCTGGAGAGCTCCCTGCTAACCCTGGGCAATTTCAATGCAACTCGTCCACAGGCTGAAGAAAACGCAGGTGGTTTCTAGTGGTACATAATGCAACTCTGCAAAATTGCTGCAGGCAGCAGTACGCTGAGAAATAAGCAAAAGATCAGGGAAGTTTAGAAGTTGAGACTGCTTTTAAACGAACATCAAGTGCCGGGCAGAAATTCATCCCTGTGGGTATAAGGTAGCAGCATGCTGTTGGAATCTCCGCTTAACGGGAGCATGACAGAAAATGCACAGAGCTTCCCGGTTCTGAGGTGCCCAAACGCATCAACGCGAAGCCCAGAGGTAGTATGGCTCATCTTGCCCTGAGTTTCATCCTGTGAAGGCAGGAGGGGAGAGGAAATGAACAGCAGTCGTTTCTAGCACCTCAGTGTGTCCACGGAGAGGTACAAATCCTTTCGAGGGTGTTGTTCTTAAGAGTTGTTTTGCCTCTGCACAGCTGAGCACGTAAAGCAAACCAGCTGAGGAGCAGGGCTGGGGACACTGTTGCTCATGCAACAGCTATAAACCCTACTCATCCCTTTTTAAGAATATTATGGCAGAGACAAATACTGCCCCGTGACGTCGCTGCTGGATGGGAGATCTGCCATGCAGGTCAGAACCCGTCTCGACTCGCTGTAGCCTAAAGGCAGATTTAGGGCAAAATATGACCCCATACCCTTTTATATTCTTTGAGGTATCTCAAGGACACTTCCAGCTGCTGGTGACAGCAGGAGGCCCCATTAAGTGAAGATAAGACACAAAGGGATCACGCTCCAACTCAATTTAATAAGCTTCGTAACGAACTTGGACAGAAAGTGGTTTGAAATAAGTCGAGCAACACTCATCTACTAGTCAAGGGGGTTTTTTAAGTAATGCTTTTAAGCTTATGCTCAAGCATACAAAGCATAGATTTTACAAATTAAAAACAATAAAATCATCCTAGAATAATGTAATGGCTTCCCCTATATGTACAAGGAGTGGAAAGGAAACAGAATTATTTCCAGGTAATTTCACACTTCTTAAATGCTACATAAGTGCTCTCCACATTCATTTCAATTTTTCTTCTAATGTAGGTGGAAGGAGCTGAAAGTGTTTCAATGAAATCATTTTAAGGAGAGAGAGGTACTTCATCCTGGTTTCAAGCTGTATATGCTTGCCTCTTCAAAAGTCTCAAGAGGAAATGATTTACTTAAAATTCTGCTGTTAGTTTCTGTGCAGCACCCTTGGTTTTTCCAGATATATAAAATTAAACAGTTCAGCAAGTATTTCTCAGAAAGTACCACCAGTACTTCATCCTCATGGAAACCTGTTATCCCCCACCCTTCACAAATGACTCCATTGTACAACAGAAGCAACCACAGTTTATCTTAGATTTGACAGGCATAAAAGAAGCAGGGTAACAGCGAAAAAAAAACAGTTAAGAGGAAGGTGGTTGGTTTTAAAAGAGGAGATAGATTTGTAGCCTAATCAAAACACACTTGACATACAGCCTTTCTGCAGAGGCATATAGGACAGGATATTTTACAACCCAGCGGCTTCATGTCCGTAGCATTAATGAAAAAAATCTTACTTGCTTTCAACTAAGGGAAGGTTGGGGGAGGAATGAGTGTAGTGTACCATGTTTAATTACCAATTTGTTTGCCACCGTTGAGTTTGGAACAAACCTTCTTACAAAAGTTATTTTCATATTGTTCTAAATTAAGTGGAATAAAATATGTATTTTTACACTAAAGCAAACTGATCAAAGTGGCATTTAATAATATTTGTTAAAGTGGTTATCTAACAAAAATGGGTTAGCAAAATCCCATTCATTAGTAGTCACCAAATAAGACACTTCTCATGCATATGACAAAAGTTCATTCGTGTACTGAGACGTCTGTTTACTGTGTACAATATTTCCATAAATTATAATATGTTTCACAGCCCCTACCATTCAAGAATATTTCAAACAGATTATATATTATATTTGTATATGCAAACTATTTTATATACACTAATATAAAGATCCTTAGAAGTACCAATATCACTACCTTTACGCTTTCTCTAAAATGCATAGCTTTCGAATATTTTCTTGCAGTTACCAAAAACTTTACAGATTAAAGCTGCTTATCAATGTGGCATGTTCATAAAAAACAAAGTGAAATCATTCTATACTAATTTTATATTAAACCCCTTAAAAAACATGTTTATTATTTTAATGGGAAAAAAAAAAAAAAGCTAGGGAAAATTCAAGTAATCTATGCTCAATCTTTGCCCAAATACTATATGAATTTAATGTAACGTTCTAGAAGTGCAGTGAACTTCTCAACCAGGACTGTAATACTGCATTTCTCATGGAGAAAAATGCTAGTCATGCCACAAAAACGCACCATTTTCCACTTCATCTGGGAGAAGCTTTAGATGAGATTTAACAACACAAGTGTCAGAACAGAGAAAAAGCTGATCAGTTATATATGAAGAAATTAGAGCTATTCCAGTTTTGTTTCTGCAGTTTGTTATTAAACAAAGTTACATTAACCATACAGTTTCTCACAAACTAAAAGTTATACACTGTTTTCAGACATCAACAGACTGGAAAAAGAAAAAAACAAAACAAAACAAAAAACCCACAACTGTTAAAAGTTTGGTGTTAGAATAACCAGCCTGATTGAAGGAAAGCCAGACTGCTGTTGTAGTTG